TTCTATGGTGATTCTGCGTTATGGGGGGGTCAAATCCCGGACTTGAAACGTTAAGCATATCCCTATATCAACCCTATACACCCTACTAACCCTGTACAGCCCCGCTAAACCCTAAACCGTAAACCCTAAGTAGCATTGGGACTATAACCGCTATACAACCTTTTGGAATCCCCCACATACGGAGATGGCTCTGCCAGCAAGCACCATCCCCCTTCCGGGCCGTCCTGACAAAAGATGCCACGCTGAAACATGAGTGAAAGTCCTCAGTAACATAGGGTTAGGGCTTAGGTTTAGGTTTAAACTCCTTAAAGAGGGTTATATCGGGAATTATCAGGGTTATAAACATGGGTATTTCTCAAAAATGCAGGAATTTAGTTGTGGGGGCTATGTAAGGCTAAACAATATCAGCGCAAAATAATGACCGTTACAGTAATCCCTGGTATGTCATACTGAGGACTTTCATCATGACTCTCATGGATTTTGCTCTTGACAAAAAAGCCAGCTATCCAGTGCGTCCACGTGGGTTGCTTCATGCAGGCTTACCACTGGTAGCAGTTGTGAGAGGCGGTCAATGTAAAGGGTGAAGGGGAGTTCTGCTTAAAAAAATGAACTCTGGAACCCAGATTGATTCAAAAACGGATGTACCCTCGGACTCCTACGTATACTTGAGAGATATTCGCATCCTTGAAAAAAGCAACAGGCCGAAAACAAGGGCCGCATGAACATCTCCTCCAGCCCTATGCCTGAACCATGAAACATCCACGGCAAGATGCTGAATTGTTGCTCCGACCCCCTCTGCACTGTAATTTAACTGGTAAAGTCGTAATATTATCTGGCATCCCATGTATACTGATTCGCATTTTCATGTACCCCCAAAGCCCTTATTCTAAGTATCTAGGCCCCCTGCATGAGGTCTTAGGTTTCAGGATCAGGGCGTTGGGATTGGGGATTAGGGTCTAGAGTTGCCTAGGGACCATTAAGGGTGGACAGAGGTGTCCTTGTGGTAGTTTCGTATAGTCCCAAATATGTTCTTCATTGTAGCTCATCTCGGGGCCCGCATATATTTGTCATCATCCGCCTTTGTGGCCAGGATTTCTGGGATGTAGTTCTGACTTAATCTAGGTTCCTAGATGTAATCAACGCGCCCCAATATTCATATCATACCCCCGCCCCCCAATATTCTAGATTCCCGTGGTGGTATATTACACTATATGAGCTATAGTCTAAAGTCCTTAAATTTAGTGGGGCCTCGTTTGCTCTGACCTGTTTCTCACCATATTTGGGTACAGTTGGGGTTTCAAAAATGAGGTGCTGTTGGGAGTGGTTTATAGGATTTTGAGGTAAATTGGGAGGACCTTTTTCTCTGAGCATACTCATATCCCTTACCTAATCCCAAGCACTTGCCTCATAATCCCCTTGTCCCTGCTGTCCTAAACGGTCCTCCCATTTTGGAAGCCCCCATCTAACAAGAAATATTCATTCAGACCTAGAGCTTACGAGGTTTTGTTCCAAGTTCAGGGCTTAGATTCTGCAAGGAAGTATGAAACCCTAAACCCTAAAACCTGAAAGTAAGGACCCTTTGACGGTCATAAAACTCAAAGGGTGTTCATCTTAGGGGTTGGGTTGGGGTTTAGGGTTTGGGGGTTGGTTACCAATATTTCTTTCATTACCCATGGTGCTAATATTTCTTTCCCTTGTAAGCCTTCTCAAATCCCCTATACTAGTAACCATATTCCCATTGAGGCCACCCAAAACCCTAAGCCTTAAACCCTGATCCCAAAACCCTAAACCCTAAACCCCAATCCCTAAACCCCAATCCTTAAACCTTAATCCCTAAACCCTTTCATTTTCTGCCCGAAAGTTTTTGTGCTCTTCCAGTTGCCTCGTAGATCGCCTGGCCCGCCATGGCAAAAGCCGTTGGGCTGTTGCTTCTCTGCCAAGGCCCTCCAGGGTTATGTAAGGGGTTTAGCGATTAGGGTTCCTGTCCGATACTTCAGAGGGGGCACATACCTTATTACACTATAGTAGTTTCCATGTTCTTTTACATTATCCCGACAATATTAGCCCTGTATATTACCCCTATACCGCCCACCCCAAGAATTACTATATTACCCCTATATCGCCCAACATCAAGAATTACTATATTACCCTTACATTGCCCAACATCAAGAATTACTATATTACCCCTATAGTGCCCAACATCAAGAGAGAAGTTTAAGCGCAGGGTTTGGGTTGGAGGTCTCGGGGCGAAGAGATTGAGGTGGTCAGGCTTCAGAGTCTGCATCTGAAGCTCTAGGGTTTAGGGCTATATGGGGGTTTCCCAAAATTAGGGGTACCCTTTTGGGGGTCCCCATAATAAGGATTATAGTATTTTGGGAAACTACCATATGGGATATATTGGGATAATGGAAAAGAAAGTGGAAGCTACTATAGTATAATAGGGTATATATAGGGGTAGTGTAGGGGTTATAGGATCCTTGAGGGTCTGGGTGTTGTTAACGCACTTCAAGGCAATTATACAGGATGTACAGTGCATTACACATTGAGCCAAAACAGGAGCTATAGTCTGAGCTCCTTAAAGGGGTTTAGGTTTTAGGGTTTAGGGGTTAGGGTTTAGGGTTATCCGGGGGATTATATAGGGGACTACTATAAGGGTTAGTAGGTGGGATGGTAGGAGTTGAGACTATAGCTCACATGAGGATTGTCGACGGCTCATAAATTAGTCCTGTCCAAATGCACGGCCAACGCCTTCAGATCGACTTCGGCATTCACCCTGAGTTCTCCAGCTTACAACCCTACTCAGTTCCTTCAGGGTTTGACGTGATGTAGATGGAAAAAACTTGCCAGTATCAGGTTGACTGTCACCTTACTGTTGCTGAATGGGGAGCGAGGGCATCAATATGGAGACCAGTACTGTGTAGGGGATGTCGTAAGGAAGTCCTTATATACATATATAATGACAAGTCATAAGCGGCAATAACAATAATAAAGCCAATAACGATAACATAATAGTTCCCGTTTTCTTTGAGTGTCGTGAGCATCCACTTCCCCATTCTCCCTCAAGAGTCAGTAGTTTTTTGGAACACTCCAACGCTCCAAAGCTCTGGGGGTGTCCACACGAATTTGGGGGGGGTCCCTTTTTTGGGGTGGTTTAGGATTTAGGGTTTTGGGGTTTCAGGGTTTAGGGTTTAGGGTTTCCGAGGACATGGGTTATAGACTTTGGACTGTTTACAAGAGGAACAAAGCCTAGCTTTGGCAACTCCAATGTAGCACCAAAAGCTCGGACCCTGCAAAACCCTAAACCCTGACCCTAGGGTTCATTTTAGGCTGGATGTATGGGTGAACATGGTTTTTGGGATGGATAATAAGGGGCCAGAAAGGAAAGGTACATGCTGTGTCGATAGTAGATACTTGGAGGGTGAAGGCGCGATGGTAATAGTATGGGGGTTCCCTTAGCGCTATATAAACCCTAGATAACCCTATATAACTTATGTAACCCTATTAGTAAGAATATTCATCAAATCCTATCAGATCATTGACCTACTTGCTACTTCCTCCTGACCCTGAAGGTGCTTAAGGACCCCGACGTCAAGAGCTCGAATTAGGGGCCCCACTTCACTAATTCAACCCTATATAACCCCAATATAACCCCAATATAATCCCCATATATAGGCTTCAGGGTTTGAGAAGCAGTGTAAGCGCTTGAGGCTCATAGTGGCTATGAGGAGTGGGGTAAGTGTCTGGAGTAAGGCCGTAGCTATACCTCTGCTCCATGGACAACCTGACGTAGAACTCCCCACGAACCTTTAAGCATGAGCCTCTCGCCGTTCTTCCAGGATTGTTTTGGCATGAGATTTCATTGTGGCAGTGACCTGGGCTCGAGAGCTACACGGTGCACATGCAAAGCATCACGCAGATTTTGAAGGTACAGGGATGTGTGGCCCAAAGTTCCTCTTGTGCACATAAAGGAACCTGATGACAGCGACGGGGACACTGTTGCATAAGATTCATTATCCCAATCACAACCAATTTACAACCACTGTTACTCCCTAACCTTAAACTACCAAACCCTAAGCTTAAACCTGCGGGGTAAGGAAGCTTGAGGCCAGAACTTTGCACCCCAATCTTTCAGTGATAGTGCTAGGGTTATTAGGCGTGAAGAACCACATTTGGGCTTTGCAGTTTGAGGCCACTACTTCACAAAATACTGCTCTAGGTTCAGGGTGCGACTTGCCCTAAATCCTAAAACCCCCAAAATCCTAAAACCATAAAACCTAAAAGTCTAAAACCCTAAAACCTAAAACTCCAAAACCTAAAACTCCAAAACCTAAAACCCTAGAGCAAATGACGACGCGTGACCCAGTACGGGTGACTTTGCCAATCAATCTGACCTTACAGGGCCCGAGCCTGGGTTGCTCTTAAGGAACTTAGAACTAAGTTGCTTTAATAGAGGGGATATAGGGTATATAAGGAATTGATAGGAATTTAAGCAAAGTTACTATAATGTAGGGGATATAGGGTATATAAGGAAGTTATAGGAATTTCAACAAAGTTACTACAATGTAGGGGATATAGGGTTTGGGGTTTAGGGTTTGATATAGTGCTCAGGGTTTGAGGGTTTCAGGTTTAGGGGTTTGGGGTTTAATATAGTGCTTAGGGTTTGGGGGTTTAGTGTTTAGGGGTTTGGGTGTTTTCAATTTTGGGTTTAGGGTTTGGGGTTAGGGGATTTAGGGTATATGAGGAATTTATAGGGCATATAGGGGGTAGTGTTAAGTTACTATAGTATAGGGGGTAGGGTTTAGGGTTTGGGGGTTTGGGGGTTTAGGGGTTTAGGGTTAGGGTTTAGGGTCAGGGGGTATAGGGTATGCAAGGAGTTTATAGGGCATATAGGGGCTAGGGTATGCATCTAGGGTTTAGGGTTACTATAAAAAGGAAGCCCGAGTATTTACTCTATACCTTTATTATGGTAACTTGATTTCAGTTCCTTAACAGCAACCCAGGAGCGGTTGGTCCAAGGACGTCCAGGTAGAGCCAGGCACACGTGTCGTGGAGATTTTGAGATGCTAAGCTTAAGTTACTATATTGGGGAAACCCTATAGGGAGTAATTATATACAGGTATAGAGAGGGTTTAGGGTTAAGGAACTTTATTTAAGCTACTATATTGGGGAAACCCTATTTTTTAATATATATATATATACCCATTATGGTAACTTAATTTGGGTTCCTTAGCAGCAATAGGGATGTCATCGCGCATGTTTTTGTTCAGGTTTGCCGGTTTTCCGATAATGGACCGCTTTGCCTATTGGGATGTTTTGGTGAGGGCTTCAGGGCAGATAGCTGAAAATTATCAGAATTGTCTTCCTATATTCTTGGCATACTTCTCGTATAGTGTACCCTACTGGGAGGTTCAGGGTAGTCATACACAATTTTGAGGGCTTTATAATGGGGCCATACAGTGAGAATTGGGTTATAAACCTCCAAGTGGACATTTGGGGGTTTCCCTAAATTGGGTGCACCTTTTAAGGGGTCCCTATAATAAGGATTGTAGTATGGTGGGGTCTATATTGGGGTCCCCTTATTTTGGGAAACTACCATTTCGGGTTTGTAGGGCTTAGGGCAACAGAGGACACAACGTTCCGGACGTGCCAGACGGCCATCGGTTGCGTTTGGTGACGGAGACTGCGGAAGTCCTGAAGCCTGACAGTCGAGTTCTTGGCTTGGTATCAAGGAACTTGGGTTTTGGTTTGCCGTTAAGGAACTTGGGTTGTTTAGGGTTATGGGGTTAAGGAACTTGGGTTTAAGGATTAGGGTTCAGGGGTTAAGGAACTTGGATTTAAGGTTTAGGGCTCAGGGTTGTAAACCCTCAACCTTTAACCCAGCTACACTATCTCCATGGTAATTTCTCCCAAGTTTCTTAACAGCGGCCCAGGTTTGGGAACCTCAGGTCCTGACACTGGTTCAGTACAAGCATGTTGTTCAAACCTCAGGTCGGCCAGAAGCTGGGTTTCTGTTGAGGAGCTCCTAAGAGCTGTAGTCTAAACTCCTTACAGGGGGTTATGTAGGGGATTTTATAGGGGACTCTTATAGTGATTCTTAAGGAGATACTGTGAGTGTAGACTATAACTCATCAGAAGTTACTACCAGAATAGGGATATGCAGGAAGTAGCCGGGTTGTCTAAGCTTGGTGACTTCGTCTAAAGTTCCCTAACAGCAACCCAGGAAAGGGAAGAAAGATCATGCTTGAGATTTGTGCAGATCCCCTGTGGAGAAGCACAAGTTCGGCCCGGGGCCTTCCGAGCTTGTCGGTGCCTGACGGAAGTCGAGACGGAGTTGCTGTTAAGGAACTTAAATTAAGTTGCTATAATATAGGGAATATAGGGTTTGGAGATTTAGGGTGTTTAGGGTTTAGAGTTTGGGGTTTCAGAAACTAAGTTGCTATAGGGAACGGTATGCAGGGCTTATTAGGTAGTTACACAGGATATAGAGTATATAGGGTATATGGTGTATAGGGTCACTGTAATAAGGAAACCCTATTATTTATGATATACCCATATTATGGTAACTTAATTTAAGTTCTTTAGCAGCAACCCAGGAAATACCTGTGTCAGCGACCCAAATTGGGCTGAGGGCGTTTTCTGACTGTCCTGCCTTGCAACATGTTGAGATGCCCGGGTCAGTGGTCATTATCGAGAAGGAAGCTTTCTCCTGTTGCGGTTTAGAGACTGTTCGGCTTCCGGACTCTGTGACCAGATTGGGAACTCTGGCCTTCCGCGACTGCCATCGCCTGAAACAGGTGCAGCTCTCCGAGTCATTGACCAGCGTTGAAGCCGGGGTCTTCGCTTGCTGCTTTGCCTTGCAGACCATTCAGATTCCTAATTCTGTGACGAGTCTGGGACTCAATGCGTTCGGCTATTGCAGTGCACTGAGGCGTATCAGCCTCTCTGAGTCATTGACCACAATTGCCGACGGCACCTTCGTTAATTGCAGCTCCCTCGAGGCTATTGACATTCCCAACTCTGTGACAAGCATTGGGAAGTCTACCTTCCGAGGGTGCAAGATGTTGAGCCGTGTGAACCTCTCCGAAGCGCTAACCAGCGTTGCGGATGAAACATTTTCTGGCTGTGCTGCCCTTGAGAGCGTCAATCTGCCAAACTCGCTGATCAGCATTGGGAAGCTTGCCTTCAAAGGCTGCGTTGCACTGCGGAATTTGGAGCTTCCAGGCTCAGTGACCAGCATTGGGGCGAGGGCCTTCTCACAGTGCGGTGTCTTGGAGACCCTCAATATTCCTAACTCCGTAACAAGGATTGGGGACTACGCTTTCGAGGGCTGCTATCATCTTGGCCATGTGCAGATTCCGCCCTCGGTAGCGAGAAGGAGGAGACGAGGCGTTGCGAAACGCAGTGGCCTGAAGGAAGGAGCGTAATGCGGGTGCCTGACGAATTATTAACATTGTGGTCCTAGATCCTTTGTACCATTACAGTAAGGGGTACCTCAATTAGATTTCGAGATGATCGTGGTAGTTATTAAGCGCCTACAGTAGCCAAGAATCTGAGCACTTTTGAAATCGCTTGTCCTCAGCTTTTCTAGGGGTCCCGATAGGGCGAAGTAGGTACTATTGATTGGGGTTTATGGTTTAGGGCTGGGACCAAGTGTAGGTCTCATTGTTTGGTAGCGTCTCATGTTCGCAGAGTATTCAGAAAAGAAAGAACAAGGACGCCTCATGACATGTGCAGCATCCGCATGTTTTTTCTGGTCCCGAAATGTAATTGTGTTTTGCGAAACCCTTATTTTGTCTCCGCTTGATTAAAAGTATTGCTCGTACAGGAATGAGATTAACGCCAGTCAAAACCATCTGCGAGTTTTGTGACGGGTTTCGTTTCCTGGTGTACCTCGAAAACAAACGGCTCTCTTGAAGGAAGCCCGTGGAAAGAGGACGAATAACTTCGAGAAGTTACCCAAGTGTGTCAGGCACCCCCCCTCTTCATGACCTGATGCATTGCAAGACCGCAGTGCGAGCACAAAAAGCAGGAGCTGCTCAAGAACTTCAGTTTGTAAAAGGGTCTGCATCCTTATTGAGGACTGTAGCTGTAGCTTACCTGTTGCAAGGCTTCGGCACATTGTGGGGGGATTGGGTGTGTAGAAAAGGGCCGCATTTGCAGGCCCAAACTAACTAAACCCTGACCGCTAAACCCTCAACGCCTAAACCTGTTTATAAACAGGCCCAAACTAACTAAATCCTAAACAAGCCTAAACTAACTAAACCCTAAACCCCGAAACCAATAAACTAACCTTTGACTTTCAAGCCTGAGGTTTTGGCGTCGTGGGTAAGAGCTCCTGACTTTCGCATGTAGGGGTTGAGGGGCTTTTGGGTTTAGATTCGGTAGCTTCCAAAAAGATAGGGGGATCCCAATAGATAGAGCGCCAAATGCAACAACTCTTCTTATGGGGACCCCCCAAACAAGGTACCCCTAATTCTGGCGAACCCCAAGTAGCAGGGTAAAAGAGTTTGGGATACCTTAACCCCTAAACCATCTTCAAGCCTACACCCGATGTGTTCAGTGGAGACTGCTTAATAAGGATCTAGGGTTTTGGGTGTAGGGTTTAGGGTAGAGTTCTCTTACTTATTGTAGTAACTTGCATTTCAGTTCATTAACAGCAACCCAGACTAGAACTGAGCCAGACAAGGTAGTAACATGTTTGTTGTTGTCATTCTCGCTGTGTTTTACTTTGAATACTGGTGGCAGCATTAGCAGTAGCATCCCAGCAGTACCGGCACTAGACGTAGCAGAGCCTAAATCTTGAACCTTCAACCCGAGACCCGCAATCCATGAGCTTCTCAAGAATTGTCCCTGCACGATTGTTAAGTAGGGTGTGAAGGTTCAGTTAAGACTGTAATCTATGTATGTTCTGGGAATTCTCCAGAAGAACCCATCCCTAAACGCTAAACCCACAAAAGAATGCAGGCCCTTCCACGATGCAGTTGAGCCCTAAGTCGCCTGAGCTGACGCCACCCCCAAACTTGGAACCCAAATTCAGGGAACCCCAAGAATACAGCAACGATATAATTTGGATTTACTTACCAGGCTTCTTATATTCCTCATTGTTTTTTCTTGAGGTTGCCTGTTTGGAGTTCCTAATCAGCTCCAGGGTGTGCAGGGTATAGGGTTCGGGATTGGGTGTCGGGCATACACTTTAGGGTTTAGGTTTGGGGGACGGGGGGTTTTAGGGTTCATGATAATTACTGAGGGTCCGGGGGTCATTTGGCTTTTAAACGGTTTGATTTTTAATGTATTCCTGACATTACGGTAATTGGGACGTCCAAGTACTTGTAACCTAAATCTATTTTGTCTTGAGGGCTCAGGATTCAAGGTTTTTTTGCTACAAAGTTCAGGATTGTCGCTTACTGTGCAAAATGTTTGGTGTGGTTTTGCTTGGGGCTTGAGGTGGAGAGCTTACTGGCCTTAAGCGGGTTTTGAAGTCGTCCTCGGAAAAGGTTTTTAGACTTTAGGCTGTGGAATTTGTGATTTATAGCTTAGGGTTTCGGGGACGCATTTCAGATGGGTAATTTCTAGTCCCGTGAAGCAGGAAAAAAAACAAATGTTTGGACTTGAAATGCTGAACCCCCTTGTACCCTGAATCTTAACTTCCTTCCACCAAGACCCCTAAGCTCCAATGGCACTTATCTCAGAGGACAGGTTTAGGGTTTCGGCTTCAGGATTGGGATTTGGGCTTCAGGGTTCACAGTAGGGTATATAGGGTTCAGCGGTAGAAGGTTAGAGTGAAGGATTTTTTCCTTGACTTCCACGTACCCAATCCAGAACCGAAATCGGAGGGATGGCTTCGGGTGGATTACGGTTATTGAGAGTTTGGGGATGGCAATTTTGGTTGTAAACGTTTGACTTTGGGAACATCTTGAAAGAAATTAAGGCAATGGGGACTTCCTATGTACGTGTAACTTAAATTTGTTTTTGTGTTGTGGTTTTAAAGTTTGTATACCGTGTTTAGGGTTCAGGCTTACAGCTCAATGTTTGTGGCTATGGACTGCGAGATTTGGGGTGAGTTGAGTTGGAGAGCTTACGAAACTTGAGGGTGATAAGCCGGTAGTGAATGAAGTCTTGGGCATAGGCCCTACCCAGGATAACCAAGGTGCCTACACAGATTGGTTTTGTACCTGATGCTGTGGTATAACTACCCTTTTCCAAGGATGGGATGAATCCAAATACATTTTTTCGCTGCATTGCGAAAGACTGTCTAGCAGTTGTAGGCTTCTCTGCCTTCGCTATACCCGAAAGGCTTGAAAACAGAATATGAACTTGCAGGTTGCCAGCATGGGAGCAGTGCCTGAGGTCTGGATCCAAGGCTCTTATTGTTTCATGGCAACATGAGACCTAATTGTGCTGCTTCCGCTAAATGTACTGAAGAAGCCTGAACAATTAGGATCATATCTTTTTGGAAACCCGATCAAATCACAAGCTAGTAGACCCCATACGAATTGGTAAGGCCTCCGCATTACTTGTGCTTGGAAAAGTTCTGCCTTAAACAGGAAGCCTCGAACCTTAAAACCTTCACCCAGAATCCCTAAAAACAGGCTTTGGGGTATTATTTAGGGTTTTGTTGATTTTAAAGATCTCGTAAGTTCAGGCTTTCCATGTCCAAGTACAGCGCCAAAACAGATAAGACCATGAACCTTCAAAGCGCGGAGCGAATCTTACTTTTTCGAAACAAGAACATGCTTCTGCGGGTCTTAGCGTTTCTTGCTTATCTCCTCTAGAAATGGCTCGAAAGTTCCATACGTTATGCTGCCATGGCACAAGGGGTTGGTTGTTCCCCTAGCCACCCTTGAGCCCCACATGCAAGAGGAGATATGCACTTCTTAGCTGGTTGGAATCTGTTCGTCCAACTAGGGAGGTGAAGGTCTAGAGTTTTGGGCTTGGTTGGGGTCTGGAATTTTGAAAAATTAGGGTTAGGGCAAGGAATGAAAGGGGAGGATATAGGGAAAATTCCCTATATTCTGAAGATTCGTTTCCCTAAGGAGCCTGCATGAGATGCTGGAAACATGTGGTCATGCACCTTTCTTGTCCAGACCGCCCATATCAGGGCCGAAATCTTTTGAATTGGTTGGAAGGCCTCTGGGAATTCAAATTCAACGGTCTGGAGAGGAGGCCGTTCGTCGAGAGATTGCAGAAAAGGGAAATCAGAATTTGAAAATATAGTCTAATTGCAAAAAATTCGGAGATACAATATCATAGATACGGGTGAGATTTGGCCAATAGCTATTATTTGATATTTTGAAATGTGCTAAACCCGGATTTCCATATTGA